CTCCAATATTTCCAAAGGGATAGAAGAAGTAGATGTTGGTGAGCACTAGAAAATTCTACCACATATATATGTATGTATATACTGGGTCATAGTTAATTGCATTTCTTATTGTGAGTCACAGCAAAAAATCTTTGACAAACTGCTATCCTGCTTCCCTCTCCCTCTGCTCTCACTATGTCCTGAGATCCAAAGGAGTGCATAGACCTTATCATACCTGCATTCAGAGGCCAGTCCTACCACTTCCCTGTCTCTGTGAACTTGGTTGGGTTCATGCTTGTTAGGTAACATGCTTGTTACCTAACCTTTCTGAGTTTCATTCCCCTCAGACGTAAATGAGGGAAATAACATCTGTCCTACAAAATTGTGGTAAGGCATAAGAGACATGGTATGGTAAGTGCCTAGCCCTGGGCTTGACTCTGTGTGTGAGTTTAGACAGTAGAAATCTTCACCATTCTGCCAAGCAGAACTCTTCCATTGAAGAGATGACGTGTTTCAGAACCCCATGCCTTCATGTGTGCATGCTCCTTCACCTGGATGGCCTTTCCTCTTCTCATCTGCCTGTTACATGCCTTGTTTTTCAATGCTCAGCTCATGTTCTTCCTCTAGGAACTACTCCCTAAGTCAGATGATCAGATATGACTCAGAGTGGTGGATAATGAGCATGTATCCTGGAGATAGCCAACAGACATGGCTTGAATCCCAGCTCCACCACTTCACCAGCTGTGACAAGCTTGTGACAAGCATGTTACTTAGCATCTCTAAGAACGTTTCCTTCCCTGGGAAATATTAGGTGTAATATTAGTACCTACCTTCATGGGATTATCGTGAGGATTAAAAGAGAAAGTGCTCCAAAAGTGTTAAGTCAGGCCGGGCGCGGTGGCTCACGCCTGTAATCCTAGCACTCTGGGAGGCCGAGGTGGGCGGATCGTTCTCAGCTCAGGAGTTCAAGACCAGCCTGAACAAGAGTGAGACCCCATCTCTACCAAGAAATGGAAAGAAATTAATTGGACAGCTAAAAATATATGTAGAAAAAATTAGCCGGGCATGGTGGCGCGTGCCTGTGGTCCCAGCTATTCGGGAGGCTGAGACAGTAGGATTGCTTGAGCCCAGGAGTTTGAGGTTGCTGTGAGCTAGGCTGACGCCACGCACTCGCCCCAGGCAAGAGAGACTCTATCTCAAAAAAAAAAAAAAAAGTGTTAAGTCAATGCTTGGCTCATACATGCTCATTATACCCTTATTTGGGTCACTTCTATACCTAGTACATCCCTCTACTATAGTTCCTGTCACACTGTGCTGCAATTATTTGTTTGATGACATGCTCTGTACTACTAGACTGTATAGACTATGCACCTGTTGAGCGCTGTCCCAGAGTTCAGCAATAAGTAGCTTTTTTTTCTTTTTTTTTTTTAGAGATGGAGTCTACCTCTGTCTGTTGCCCAGGCTGGAGTGCAGTGATGTGATCCTAGCTCACTGTAACCTTGAACTCCTGAGCTCAAGTGATCTCCCTCAAGTCTTGACCTCCCAAAGTGCTGGGATTATAGGTGTGAGCCACTGCACCCAGCCAGAGCTAGCTTTTTTGAACACTTATAAAAAAAGTCCGAGACTTATGCTAAATATTTTACATATATTATCCCATTTAATATTGATTGGAAACTACATTAATATCTTGCTACTTTCTAAGGTTGGCCAGGGATAGGCAACCCTTCTGCTTCTTTGCTCACTGACTACAACATAGGGGACTATAGGGCTTTACTAATTCATGTTCTGATTCACAGCAGCTTCAGTGTCCTCTGGTCCCAGGCTTCCAAATGACGCTCTTAGTGTTCATTTCCTTTTGAGCAAGGAGTTTCTATTTGGAGTAGCCTGCTCTTGATTTTTTCATTTTCTTCCCTTTGTCATATTATCATTTTAGGGCATTTGCCTACCCTATGTCCACAAATAGACTGTTCCCTGTTGTTTCCATTTCTAATTTGGGTGGGTTTCAGTTTTGTTATGAAGAAAGATATGGGTTAGCTCTGGTGGAGCCCACTGCTACTGCCTTAGAGGCCAAGGGAGAAGATGCCACAGACATGGCCGGGTGAACCTAAATAATCATTTCCCCTCAGACCTCTGTCTTTATTTCACTCCCCTAATACCTCTGCCCTCTCTTCTGCCTGACATTTTCATGTACTTCCTTTTTGATTTGAACAGTTTCCCTCCCAGCCTCTCTTTCCTTACTACTAATAAATACACAGGGGGTTTCCCATACTTAAAAAAAGCAAACAACTAATGATTAGGAAAATGCAAATCAAACCACTATGAGATACCATTTCGCACCCATTAGGATGGCTACTATATGAAAAGTTTTAAAGACTCAGGTTGGGCATGATGGCTCACACCTGTAATCCTACCTCTTTGGGAGACCAGGAGTTTGAGACCAGTATGAACAACATAGCAAAAAATCTTTACAAAATTTTTAAAAAATACTGTCTCTACAAAAAATTAAAAAAATAAAATATTAGCCAGATGTGGTAGCTTGTGCCTGCAGTCCCAGTTACTTGGGGACGCTGAGGCAGGGGGGTCGCTTGATCAAGCCCAGGAGTTTGAAGTTGCAGTAAGCTATGATTGTACCACTGTACTTAGCCTGGGCAACAGAGTGAGACCCTGTCTCAAAAATTTTTAATTTTTTTAATTTTTTAATTTTAATTTTAATTTTTTTTTGAGACAGAGTCTCACTCTGTTGCCCGGGCTAGAGTGCCATGGCGTCAGCCTAGCTCACAGCAACCTCGAACTCCTCGGCTCAAGTGATCCTACTGCCTCAGCCTCCCGAGTAGCTGGGACTACAGGCATGTGCCACCATGCCAGGCTAATTTTTTCTCTCTATATATTTTTAGTTGTCCAGATCATTTCTTTCTATTTTTTAGTAGAGATGGGGGGGTGGTTCGCTCTTGCTCAGGTTGGTCTCGAACTCCTGACCTTGAGTGATCCACCTGCCTCGGCCTCCCAGAGTGCTAGGATTACAGGCGTGAGCCACTGCGCCCGGCCCCCCAATTTTTTTTTAATTAAATAAATAATAATAAATAAAAATCCAGAAAATAAGGGCAATAATTATAGGGTGTCATTGAGTTTGGAAAGAGTGAAAGATTAAAGATCAAAGAGAGCAAAAAGAATGCAATAGAATTTAGGGTTAGTGAGAAGAGGTTTTAAGAAGAGTTAAGGATAGCCAAGGATTTCCAGCCTGGAAGGATTTGGGCATTCACAGAAATAAGGAAGATAAGAGGAGGAGTTAATATGGGGAAATATGGCCAGGTGCTATGGCTCACGCCTGTATCCTAACACTATGGAAGGAGAATCACTTGAGGTCACAATTTGGAGACCAGCGTGGGCAACATAGTGAGACCCCTGTCTCTACAAAAAATAAAAAGAAAATAAAAAAATTAGCCGGGTGTGCTGGGGTACGCCTGTAGTCCCAGCTACTGGGGAGGCTGAGGCAGGAGGATCCCTTGAGGCCAGGAGTTCAAGGTTACAGTGAGTTATGATCACACCACTGCACTCCAGTCTGGGCAACAGAGTGACAACTTTGTCTTTAATAAAAAAAAAAAGGGGGAGGAATATATGTTTAGTTTTAGACATATGGAATTTGAGATGTTAGTGATATATGCCACAGCTAGAACTGCTAGGAGAGGTTGGAAATGTATGCTGGTGTGAACTAAAATAAAATCTTAAGGCTTCCCCGTTTAAACCCACCTATAACCTCAACTCACCCTCCACACACCCCCCTCCACTGAGATCACCAATCTTTTTGGGCCAAACCAATGTATGCCTTCCATGTATTGATTTATGACTTTACCTGTAATCCCTGTCTCCCTGAAATGTATAAAACCAAACCATAACGCAACCACTGCAAGTCCACTTGCTGAAGGTTTCTTGGGTGTGGCTCCTGGTCATGGTCCTCAAATATGACTCAGAATAAATCTCTTTATTTTACAGAGTTCGGCTTCTTTTCCCTTAATACTGGGACTTAGAGAAGAACATTAAATTGTGTGTAGTAATTAATATTTGAAACTAGAAGAGAAGGTGCAGGCTGGGCTATGAAGATAGCCCAAATTTAAGGTTGTGGGAAGAGAACAGAAGAGTTAGTGAAGCAGGGAGATGATAGGAGGAGGTAAGTGTAGAATCTAGAGAAGTTAAGCAGAATTTTAAGAAAGAAGAGGATTTGGTCCGGAAACCAGTAGTGGAGGAAACCTGGAAAAGGCAATTGTATTTGGTGAGCTCTTTCGGAGCCTTGGAGAACTACAGTGTTAACAAGCGATACGATCTCGAATTCACGCTGAGCGCCATGCTAAGTGCTGGGGAAAGGAACAACAGCACAGTTCTGGACCCAAGAAGCTCACAGCGTGGCGAAGGAAGAGCGACATGAATGAATAATTAAGATACAATGTTGAAAGTACTTTAACAGAGGTGTGCTCAGGATACAATAGAAGCCCTGCCGAGTGGCGACCCCGCGGGGCGGGATTGGGGAAGGGCTGGTAGGATGCGTAGCTGTCTGAGTGTGTGGCGGATCTTCAAGGATTCATGTGGGGCAATTCCAGCAGAACCGGTCTTCCGAGGCCTCAGAGAACTCTTAGGGGACTGCGGGGAGATGAAACACGAGGGTGCCCAGGGGTCTGGGGCGAAAGGGCGTTAGCAATAACTGGGTCCTAAGTGAAAGATGCAGGAATGGAGTTTGCAGCCTGAAGGGATGCAAGAAGAGGAGGCGAAAAACTTTTCTAAATTCTCCCCACTTCTTCACATAGGGCAGAATAGATTAGGAGGAGTGGAAATCGGGCCTATTGGGGACCAGGTGGATCAAAAGCCTCAGTTTGCCGGACTACGGAATCCTTGTTACCTTTCTTGGGACTTCGTACCCGGCCGGAACTCCAGTGTTCTAATGACTAGTTGGCGCCGGAAGGGAAAAGCAGAGGTACCTATAAGGGAAACGTGGAGAACCCGGCGGGGAAGAGCGGGGACCCGGGCGGAAGCCACACTTAAGCTCCAGGGAGGTGAGCGGTCTCTGTCTGGCTAGCTGTTGGTATGTTGGGGATGTGGGAGGGCGACACAGCCCTGGCAGGTGAAGGTTGCGGGGGCCCCACCGTGGCGAACGTCCAGCCTCCCGAGCCGGGCAGCGAGTTCCGGGCTGCTTCCCGGGCTCGGATCCAGAGCTAAACACTGGGACTGTTGAGTTTTGCCACTTAGTAGCTGTGTGACCTCGGGTAAATTAATCTTCAAACTTCCGTTTTCTCGTCACTATAATTGGAATAATAATAGTACCTCTCTCAGGGTTGTTGTGAGGAGTCTATGAAAATACACTTGGAACAATTTCTGTCACCTGGATATGCAATCTTTGCTATTACTGCTCGCTTCTAGCTGCGTGGATTACGTTGTCCAAACTCACTGTCAAACTCAACCCGGTATTGTCCAGTTAATAGGTTAGATTTTATGTTTATTGGTAAAAAAAAAAAAACAAACCATGAAACATTTATAATTAAAGTTATATTATTAGAGAAGTAACACTACTAAGGTTTTGGAAAATAGGGTAAATAATGTTACTTATAATCCCATCATCCTACACACTAAGCCCTTTTTTTCTTTTTTCCCCCCAAATCTTTTTTGTCTGTATATTTTATACTTGTAATGTTAGCATATATGCAATTTTGGTTTCTCCTTATTTGCCACTTAATATTGTAGCCTAATCATGGGGTTCATGAGAATCATTTTTATGACTGTACAGTATTTCATTTTATGGGCTCATCATTTGTTTCCCAAATTTCTGCATATTAAGAGGTAAAATCATTTAAGTGCAATGAGTGAGGGAAACTTAAATATTACCCATGATTCCAGGACCTTAGATCAACTGTTTTTATTTTTTCTGGTTCTCTTATGTTTTTAGTCCATGCGAAAACATACTGCTACATGGTTTTCATTTATGAACAAACGTTATTTTTGTCTTTCTTTCCTTATTTTTTCTTCGCTTTGGTATAAACAAATATTACTGAGCATCAGTTATGTTCAAGCCAAGTCCCTGAGTTTAAGGAACTCAGGCCAGTTAGATAAAAGCAAGATTCTAATATTATGTAAAGTGTGCACAGGTTCTTATGAGAATATGAAGGAAGAGCAGTGTCAATACCCTTTAGTCAAAGACCACCGGTAACATGCCTGTAGTTGAACAAGTTGGGTTTGTTACCCCTTGTGAGGGAGAATGCACATCATGGGGAACCATGGGGCATCTTAGTAGGAGGGTGTTAGAAGTGACTTAACTAGTTTAGGTTTGTGTTAGGTGATTTTAGGGAGGGTACTGCCAGGAGGTAGAGGTCATTTTATAATTGGGAGGGAAAACTAGAATTGAGTCTAATGCTATGATAGGACAAGATGCGGCAGTCTCTCACATTAGCCAAGATTGTAGAATGTTTGATCGTTTTTATGGTTTGAACAATATTCATGTTTCTTGCTGTGTTCAGACATTATTTATTTAGATGGTCTTATTAGGGCTGAGGGTGTTGCCCATGGATGTAAGAAATTAAGCCAGGAAAGTGGGCATATTTTGGAGGGCCTCATATGCCATTTCAGGAGTTTAAACTTCTGGAGGGAATTGCTGATGGGAGGGTGGGGGGAGTTTCTATCATATTTAGAAAAATCCCTCTTGTTTCCAGACAAAGAATGGATTAGGAGAGGAGATCAGAGTCAGGGAGATGAGTCAGGACTTTGATACTTAAAGAGTGTTCCATGAACCAAGAAGGGCATGACCTGGGAGTTTGTTAGAAATGCAGAATCTCAGGCCCCATTCCACCTGCATTTTAACAAAATTCCCAGGTGGTTCATAGGCACTTTAAAGTTTAAATTTCCCTTTTCTAGGGAAATTACAGTAGTCCTGATAAGAAGCAATAAGGCTTTGAACTAAGATACTTGTGGCAGAGGTACAGAAATGTGGAGATACATTTGTTCAACAAATACAAGAAGTCAGGCATGGTGGCATGTGCCTGTAGTCCCAGCTACTTGGGAGGCTGAGGCAGGAGGATCACTTGAGCTCAGGAATTTGAGGCTGTATTGAGCTATGATTGGGCCACTGCACTCCAGCCTGGGTGACAGAGTGAGACTCCATCTTTTAAAAAAAAAAACAAAACTCAAATACTGTGATACCTCCTGCATGCTAGGCACCATATTGAAAGCTGGAGTTACCACAATGAAAATAGTTTTTCCCCTCAAGATACTTCTAGTCTGGTAGGGAAGAGTGACAAATGACCTGTTATAACAGGGAAAGTATAAGCCCAGGATGCAATGGGAACATGCTGGTGGAGCGCTGGTCTTGATGGAATTAGGTAGTCAGGAAGGGTGCTTGGAGGAGGTGATAGGTATCTAAGGTGAGTCCCAAAGGATGTTAGCCAAACAAAATTGGTAGAGGACATTTCTGGCCTAGGAGCAGCAATCAACCAACACCTGGGGCCTAGAGAGGGTATACTGGGTGGCACTTGTTGGACCACAAGTATTCTCTGTGATTAGAGCATGGAGTGGGGTGTGGCTAGAGGTAAGATTGGAGAGTTGGGCAGAGGCCAGATCTGGAGGACCTTTGTAGCCCCTGTGGAGAAAGTTGGGCTTTATTCTGAAGGCATTGGAAGCTCCTGAAGGGTTTTTTTGTTTTTTTGTTTTTTTTTTTGAGACAGAGTCTCACTGTGTTGCCCAGGCTAGAGTGTCGTGGCGTCATCCTAGCTCACAGCAACCTCAAACTCCTGGGCTCAAGCGATCCTGCTGCCTCAGCCTCCCGAGTAGCTGGGACTACAGGCATGTGCCACCATGCCCGGCTAATTTTTTTCTATATATTTTTAGTTGTCCGATTAATTTCTTTCTATTTTTAGTAGAGACGGGGTCTCGCTCTTGCTCAGGCTGGTTTTGAACTCCTGAGCTCAAACAATCCGCCCGCCTCGGCCTCCCAGAGTGCTAGGATTACAGGCGTGAGCCACCGCGCCGGGCCTCCTGAAGGGTTTTAATCAGGAAAGAGAAATAAGCTTTGTATTTTAGGCCCTTCTAGATGCTGATTGGTGGATAAAGTAGGGATGGGATTGTGAACCTAGAGGCAAGGAGCAGAGTGCAGTGATCCAGAAGAGAAAAGGTGACCTTCCTGGTATGGGGAGTGAGGGAGGAAGGGTGTTCTAGAAGAATGACAAGTCCTATGTTGTAGTTAGAGTGGTCTAGGTGACATTTTGATGTGGATTCTTAAGCAACTAACGCAGGTGAGCTGGATTGTTGGATATTTGTCATTTTGAGGGTTTTTTGGGGGGAGGTTTTCAGTGTTCCATTTAGTTTCTCATTCATTGCTGTGTTCTGACTGGTGTGTGGGTTTTTGTTTTTCTCTCTCCTGGTCTCTGGGGCTGGGATAGGAGAAAAACAAACTGGAACTGCATATTTTATTTCCTACTAGGGGTAGCTGGGTTAGGTAGGAGAGGGGACTATTTTAGCCTTCCTGGTTCTGCCAGTACTCATTAAATGTTGCTGCTAAAGGCAAAGTTGTCACTTTGTTAGAGATACCCTATAAAAGTTATATTGCTAATGTCTTACTTACAGAGAGGCAGCATCATCTAGTGGAAGGACTTTAAGGCCAAAATTCTTGTTCCAGCTTTGATACTGATTAGTGTTGTGATGTTAGGTAAGTCACTTCACCTGTTGGTGTCTATTTCCTTTAGAAAGGAAATATTTACCTGATGTGTTTCACAGGATTCTTCTGTGGATTAAATGAGATAATAAATGTCTAGATGATTTGAAAATATGAAGAGTGATATCTAAATGTGATGGTAGTAGTAGTATTGCCACTATTATTTAGGTTCTATCTTTGAGGAGCTCAAATAATGACTGATATAGTGAAATTCTCATTAGTCAAAATGTGGGCCTTGGACTAGGAGTTTAGCCATGAAGACTCCTGGAGATCTCATCAGACTTGCAGAGTAAGAGAACCCTCTTTTTTTCATTATTCCATCTGATCTTCAGAAGAAGCTCTTAAAGTACATAGGGGAGATATTGACACAGCCTCACTTCCTGAAGAAATAGAGGCTTCAACAATCAACTGGTTTGGTTTACCTGAGGGTAAACAGTTTTATTAGGTTTAGTTATTTGAAATTGCAATATCATATTTACAACCTAATAAGTGGGCAGAGCCAGGTGTCAAGTCCAAGTTTTCTGGCTCTATTTACAATGCTTACTGTAGACCCTCTCTTTATAGATCAAATGCTAAAATGTAAAGTCAGTTGGCCCAGGTCCTAGTGAATTAATTGAATATTTTATTTTAGGAATCTTTTTTTTTTTTTTCCACAAATGCAGCATAAAAATTTCCTTCAGAGGTGACACAATCTCTTGAGGTAGCTTTCAGCACATACTTGAGTTGTTTTTGGGTTGATCATTACCTGCGTGTAAATGGGGCCTGTGTTTTTATTCATCTTAGTACTTTTTGCACTGCATAATAGTAGGCACTGGGTAAATGTTTGTAGAATCAGAAAATAAGGTCATGAATTTCACAATACCTAATTTCTGTTGAATTTGAAATTGTGATACATTCATTGCTATACTGGTAACTCTTCAATGTCTCTTCTGTTATAGGTAGAATTGGGCTATTTTGCTGAAGCTTCTTTCCCTGGTAGCCTGAGGAAAAAATTTGCATTTTGACTTTTTAATTTTTATTTTTTACCATGGCTTTGATTTACAAATTGCTGAATGGCACTTACATTCTCAGCAAATGCCCAAAGCGAAGTACTGCCTTGCATCCATTTTTGGGTATTCACTTTGCAGACTATTGTTCCAGTAGTCTTCAGAAACCAGAGGCTGCTCCTGGCAAAGCCTCCTCACAGAGGAAGACTGAAGGAGGTTTGCAGGGACATCACCAGAAAGAAGTTGCCGTGGATATAACTTCTCCTGAGGAGAAGCCTGAAGTTAGTTTTGATAAAGCAATTAGAGATGAAATCAAGGACCATTTTAGGCGTTTGAAGGATGAAATTGTGAATCACTGGATAGGGCCAGAAGGCCGCCCTCTGCATGAGGTCTTGCTGGAACAAGCCAAGGTCGTCTGGCAGTTCCGTGGGAAAGAAGATTTGGATAAGTGGGTAGTGACTTCTGATAAGACGATTGGAGGCAGAAGTGAAGTGTTCTTGAAAATGGGCAAGAATAACCAAAGTGCATTGCTCTATGGAACTCTGAGCTCTGAAGCACCTCAGGATGGGGAGAGTAGCCGAAGTGGGTACTGTGCAATGATATCTAGGATTCCAAGGGTAAGTGAGGCCCAGGAGCCACAGTTTTCCAGTGAACTGGAGTGAACTTCATTGTAGCATCAACTATAGCACACAGCTTTTGTTTCTGTAAATGAAAACACCTGGCATGTTATATATGTAGCCATCTCACCTTTGTATGGGGATACATAACTACTGGGCACAAGTGTAAACTCGAAGCACAATGGGGAAGTGGTTCCTGAGGAGGAGTTACTTGTTTCTGGGCATCGCTTCCGGTCAGGGAGGAACATTCTTATGTTTGAGGAATCCTGAAAGGTTAGACATTTGAAAAATGTCTGGGAACATTTGCGTCTTATATAACATAGACCACAACCTCTGTAATGGTCAGGGATTCCTTACAGTAGGGCAAGCCTGTGGCTTTTTTTTTTCTTTTAGGCAAATTTTTTATTTTAGAATAGTTGTAGACTTGCAAAAAAAATTACAGTTGCAAAGATAGTACAGAGGGTTTCCATATACCCCTCATCCAGCTTCTTCTATTGTTAACATCTTACATTACTATACTACATTTGTCGTGATTAAGAAACTAACATTGGTCTAGCACTATTAACTAAATTCCAGACTTTATTTGGATTTTGTTGTTTTCTTCACTAATATACTTTTTCTGTTCCAGTATCCCATCGAGGATACCATGTTGAATGTGGTTGTCGTGTATTCTTAGTTTTCTCTGCTCTGTGACAATTTGTCATTCTTTCCTTATTTTTCACGAGGATCCGAGATGTATTACTGGTCAGATGTTTTTGTAAAATGGCCCTCAGTTTGGGATTTTCTGATGTTTTTTCTCCTGATTAAACTGAGGTTCTCTGTTTTTAGGAAGAATATCACAGAATTGAAGTACCCTTTTCATCATATCATATCAGGGGTACATGCTATCATCATATCCCTAATAACATTAACTTCAATCACCTGGTCAAGGTAGTGTTTGCCAGGTTACTCCATTGTAAAATTATTTTTTTTCTTTCCACAAGTCACTAAGTGCAGCCCATATTTGTGGTGGGGGGTGGGATTAAGCTTTGTCTCCTAGAGGGTGGTATCTACATAAATTATTTGGAATTCTTCACTAAGGAGGATTTGTTTCGTCTCCCACTTTATTTGTTCAGTCATGTATGGAATCATACTTTGGATTATAATTCAATACTGTGTTACTATTTTGTTGCTCAAATTATTCCAGTTTTGGCCCTTGAGAGCTTTTTCAATTTGGCTCCTGCCCCTTTGACATACCCCCTCCTTTTGTTTTTTGAGCACTTTTTGGCACTACAGGATGCTCTAAGCTCATCTCCTATTTTTCCTATCTGAGCCCTAGAATTAGTCATTTCTCAAAGGAGCCCTGATTCTGTTTTTTGGATAATGGTATTAGACAGCAAGATCTGGGTGCTGGGTGTGCTTGTTGCTACTGGGTTGTCACTACTTCCAGGCCCTCAGTGGACACAGCTAGGAAATACATCTATGCATATTAACCTGTGTGTACACACATGTCTGTAATTCTTTATCCATCTATATCTGTATTATACTAAACATGAGTTCATACTGCTGACTCTGACTCTGATCCAGTACTATGTGGTTCATTCTAGCCTTTCCCCCCTTGCTTATCTGTAACTTCCCTTTCTAACAGTGAGAAACATGTGTCCTATTTCCTATCCACTATCCATTTATTTATTAATTCAACCTGGTGTATATGTAAAGCAGTTTCGGAATCCTTTTTTTTTTTTTTAATTTATTTATTTTTAAGGCTGGTCAAGTGAAGCAGTGGGAGCGGAGAAGGAACGAAGGAGTTTCAGAATTCTTGAAACAACTTACCAACTACTGTGTTTATATGCGGTTTCTTTTGTTTTTAGTCTTATAGTTTCAAGTTAAGACACTGTTTTCAAAAGTTATTTAGGCTATTCCCTTGTCTCCCCACTAGCCTCTGACTTTTGTGAATTTTGCTGACCTGTTGTTTCAGGGCTGCCCTGGACAGGCTCCAATGCCTGACCCTGGCCACAGCCACTGGATGTTTGCCTGGATATTGTGCTTTAAGGAGAAAAGCAAGTGTCAGGAGTAATGTTAGGCTCCATATAATAATGAAAAAGAAAGATATGTGCTCTTTCAGACTCAACACATGATACATAGTTTTTTCTTTTCAGGCCCTGAAAATCCACAGAGTGGATTTGGTTGGTCCAGAGTAGTAGATAATTCTATGCCAAGATACCCATTGTGGAATAATGAAAATAGTAGATAACATTTATTAAGTGTACTCTGACAATTCCGGGGCAAAATCATCCCAGTTTTATGGATGAGGAAACAGGCTTTGGGGAGTTTCAGTAACTTGTTCAAAGTTACACAGTGAGTAAACATTAGTTTATATATGAGCATTACTATTCTTGAAATCAGAGTACCCTTGAGATTGCTATAAATAAATGCCTTTGGAAATTAACACTAAATTCCATTTTTGAAGAGAGAGACGATATAGGTAGTTGTTAAACACACAGATTTTAGAGTTATACAGCACTGGATATACCACTATTAGCGGAGTGCTCGGTTTCTTCATCTGTAAAATGGGGTAATGTGGTAATACCTAGCTCATAGGGCTGTTGTGAGAATTAAATGAGATTATGCATGCAAAATAACTGTTGTAATATTCAGTGGATTCTAACTATTGTTATTAAATATCACTTTTTTAAAAACTCAAGCTATATTTTTCATAGTTTTCTGACATATAGAAAGGCAGTTGTCATAAAAAGGGCCACTCAGAAGCCATTGCTCCATAGGACCAGGACAGAAAGTACATTCATGTCCATTCAGCAAATATAAGTGAGTGCCTACCCCATGTAAACACTGCCTTGGGCCAATTGTGTCTTGAACATTACCTTAGAAACATATAGATATGTCAGTATTTTGTGCTACAATAATAATCACCAGGTTTATCTGCCTCTTTATGGTGGAAGAAAGTCAAAAAAGACAGAAAAAGGGTTAGTGAATCCATTTGATACTGCTGACTTGGTGATGACTCACATTTTGCTAATAGTGGAGAATGAGGTCAAATTAACTTCTCTTTCTGTATCTTAGGGCGCTTTTGAGCGGAAGATGTCTTATGATTGGTCCCATTTCAACACTCTGTATCTCCGTGTCCGTGGGGATGGTCGGCCTTGGATGGTGAATATCAGGGAGGACACAGATATAATCCAGAGGAAGAATCAGATGTACAGTTACTTCATGTTCACCCGTGGGGGGCCCTACTGGCAGGAGATCAAGGTAACAGCACAAGTCTTTACTGTTTATGAAAATGAGTTCTTTTGAGATTATGATTACATTATAGTTTCCTTTTGCTTACTAATCCTTCTTGGAAGGTGTGGGTGGGGTGGGTGGAAGGAAGAGGACCTAGGGGAGAGACTTACATAAATGACTTTTTCTCTCATTAATATTAACTTACTAACCAGTAAATATTTTTGATAAGGATATGGCCAGGACCATGCTAATTCACAGGTACATCTGTGTTCTGTGCCCAAATAGACGTTTCTTTTTAAGTTTCTGCCATGTCATCTCTTCTAGGCAACTCTACCAAGCTAGTGTCCCTAGCTTAATAGAAAGGGTCCATTGAGAGGAATAAATACTTCACATTTCATAATCATCAAAATTTTTATTTCTTGGTAATATAAGGAAGTCTTATTTTATGTATCAGAAGAAGTTTTGAGTAGGTAAGCAATGTTAACTTGAAGGAAAAGAAGAAGAAAGTTCAGGGACTGAGGGCAAAATGAAATGACCTCCTTTCTTTTTCCTATTGAAGGTTTTTTTGTTTGTTTGTTTGAGACAGGGTCTTACTCTGTTGCCCAGGCTAGAGTGCTGTGGCTTGATCATAGCTCACTGCAGCCTCAAACTGCTGGCTCCTGGGCTGAAGCGATCCTGCTGCCTGCTGTACTGAGGTTTTTAATCCATAAACTCAAAAGAAAGCCCCCATTCTGCTCATGTCATAAAGCTAAGGGTCATCCTTGCTTCCTGTCTCCTTCACCCTACATCGAGTCTATTATCAAGTCCTGTCACCTCTACTTCCAGAATACACTCAGAATCTGACTATTTCTAGCCGTTTTTTCCACTCTCACCCTAGTCCAGGCATTTGGATTACTGCAGCAACTTCATTATTGATTTTCCTGTTTGTCTTCTTGCCCTGCTAGAATCCAGTCTCCACAGAGCAGCCAGAGTGATCTTTCTAAAACATAGTTCAGATGACATCACTCATATGCCTTAGGACCCTCCAGAGGTCCCATGACAATATTTAGAATAAAGTCTATGGATTGTGAGGTTAAGCTTAGGTGAAAAAAAAAAAAAAAGCATGAAGTCCAAACACCTGAACATGGCCTGTGGGCCTACAGTTTCAGACCTCTGTCTTCATCTTCAGTCTCCCCTCCTGTCTCCCTCCTCCACACTGGCCCCTTTTCTGTCTGTCAAACTCAGCAGCTTCATTTCCATCTTAGCCTTGTACTTAGTTGTTCTGCTGGAATGCTCTTTCCCCGTCTCTTCATCTGCTTCCTCTTTCCTATCATTCACCTCTCAGCTCAAAAGTCACCTCAGAGAGGTCTTTCCTGATCCCTCTGACTAAAGTTGGGCCCTCTAACCCAATCACTTTTTTTTTTTTTTTTCCCCGAGACAGTCTTATTATGTTGCCCAGGCTGGTCTTGAACTCCTGTGCTCAAGCAATCCTCCTACCTCAGTCTCCCTAGTAGCTGGGATCATAGGTGCATGCCACCATGGCCACCTTCAGTCACTTTCAACACCACCACCCTGTCGACTTTCTTCATAGAACTTATCACTAACTAAAATTATTTTGTTCATTCATTTGTTTGTTTATTGTCACTCTCTAACCCCCTCCCCTGGAACATAAATTCTATAAATTCTGTGAGAGCAGGGACCTTGTTTGTATTGTTCATAGCTGTTTCCCCTGCACTAAAAACGGTGCCTAGCACAAAACAGGCCCTCAAGTACACATATGTGCACAAATATAGATGATAACACAAAAAGTATTATATAACTAACACTTGTATACAAGTAACATATATTAATTATTAAACAAAATAATTAGTATTTCACTATAGAAAATTTGGAAAATGCAGAAAAGAAAAAAATTTTACCCTACCGCTATCCAGAGGTAAAATACTATTTTTATTTTAGTGTGTATCTTCCAGACTTCTCTAGTCATACTTTTTTCCCCCAAAAATGGGATTGTGCCAATGCTGTTTTATAAGACATATAGTATTTTCACTAAACTGAATACTGTGTACAACTTTCTGTTCAAATATATTTCTATATCATTTTTAATGTCTGATATTTTATCATATAAGTAAATAATTGTCCTTTGTGAACATTTACATTTAGGTTGTTTTCAGAGTTTTTCACTATGGTACAAACTCTGAGTTTAACATCCTTAATTATTTTCATAGTGTATATTCCTAGAAATAAAATTCTTAGAATAAGTATGTATAATTTTATTT